GCGCTTGTCCCCCCCCCCCCCCCCGACGAGGGACCGGGGGGCGGGTCTTCTCCCCGACCAGGGGGGAGCAAGCAAGAAAGTAAACCGCATGGTGGGCCACGCTAGGGCCTCTTAGGAAATCCGACATTAATTCCGTCCTGCATGCCCCTCTCCCCCTCCCACCAGCCCCGGGGCTGTTGGCGCCCTTTTCTTGCCCGGCCTTCCCGCCAAGTCGGCGTGGTCGCGAGAGACACGAGCACAACCCGGGGGACGCGTGCGCAAGCACGCGCCCCCCCCCCTCGAGCGCCCCTTCCCCCCCTCTAGGTGTCTGTGTATCCCCCCCCCTTTCCTTCCCCCGCGCACGCAGACGCTTGCACCCGGCCCAGGGCGCGTGCGTGCCCAGCCCGCCGCCGCCCGCATCTAGGCTTCTCCGCCTCGGCGCGCCGCGCACGGCGGCCGAACCCGCAGGTGCCAGGGATGTGCTCCAACACCAGAATCTCCCGGCGCCCAACACTTATGGCCCAGCACACCCGGTGGCGCCGGGGGATGGCCCCCGCCCCGTCGCGCCCCCCCCCCCCCCCCCAAGTCCTCGCACACGGCACCTCCCATGGCGAGAGCTGGCTGTCATCTGCGGGCGCGTGCGCCAGTCCGGACAAGACGGGCTGCCAGCCGGAGCAGGCGGGGCACCGGCTCGGGTGGACCCGCGGCGAGGCATCCCCGGCCACTCGGCCCGATCGCCCTTCCAGTGTTCGCCGGGCCCTCTCTCCCCCGGGGCGCCCTGGGTGGATCTGGCCCCATTCTGCATCGACAGAACGATGCCTCTGGCGGCCGCGTGGCAGAACAGGACATCGGCCGGGGGCGTGATCATCTCTCGCGGAGCGCGCGCCCTCACCCACCCCCGCCGCTGCCGCCGACCGGGGGCCATACGGGGGCTGCCCTCGCGCCCGATCGGCCCGCTTGTCCCGGTCACCGACGCGCGCCCGCTCCCCCGGGCCCCAGGCCACAGCCATGAGGACAAGCTGGCAGTCAGACGGTGCCCCCGGCCCGGCGGCGCAGGTACCTCTCTGCCCCCTGTTGCCTCCCTGTCTCCCTTACTCTCTCTCGCTCTCTCTCTCTCTGTGTCGCCCCCGGCCGGCACCCACCCACCCACCACGGGGGCGCCTTTTGCGCCGTGGCACACGGCGAGGGGCGGTGGCTCGGGTGCACGGTCCCCGCGACGCACTGTCTATCTATGGGTATGGTGTAGTATTATTCTATTATTTTTTATCCTTTCCCCCTCCCAGCCACTGGCACACGCGTGCGCATACGCACGAGCGTCCTCCTCCGCGGCCGGGCACAGGGAGGCACCCTCCCGCCGGGGGGACAGTGGCGAGGCCGAGTGAGGCTCGGCACCGGGCGGCAAAGGTGCCAGCAGAGCGGGGTCCCGGTCGGCCACGATCATGGCGAGGGGAAGGCGTCGTGCCCGCCGCGAGACCCGCCAAACAGGCGACTCCGCCGGAGGAGATGCCACAGGAAGAGGGCTGGCACGCGCACAGGATCAGTCAGCAGCATGACCGTCCCGGGGACCACCTCCCCCGGGGTGCAAGAGTGGAGGATGCGCCGGGTGTTAAACACGGCGTAGGTTAGCGCCGCCAGGATGATGATGCAGGCCACCACGATGGCCGTCGTGCCGACCTCCAGCGGGCTCAGCAGGAAGATCGGCCCACAGCTGATGCCACCGACGGCCAGGGCGAAGAACCTGTCGTGTGTGTGAGAGAGAGAGAGGGGGGGGGGAGAGAGAGGAGCGTAGATCGGCGGGTTAGGAAGCTCGGGAACACGGTGAGCGACAGGCCGGGACGGCGTGCGGCCGGGATGTGGCCGGTGAACGTACGCGGCATAGCGGCGGCTATACAGGTGCGAGCTCTGCAACGTTAGCAGGGCCAGCCCCAGCAGCCCGAAGCAGAAGACCAGCAGCGACTTGAAGGCAATGGTCGTCGCGGAGGCCGCCGACGCCAGGCCGGCCATCGCGCCGGCTGTCAGGCTGAAGAGCACCATCAGCCCGGCGTGCACCATTGTCCGGGTCCCTCGCAGCGGGAGAAAGGACAGCAGCAGGTAGATCCCGGCCGCCAGGGCCAGGAACAGCCAAATGGACCAAGAACTGCGGTGCAGAGAGCGAGCGAGCGAGCGAGCGGGCGAGAGAGGGGGAGGGGGGGGGACAGACAAAGAGAGAGAGAGAGGGGGGGGGAGACAGACAAAGAGAGAGAGAGAGAGAGAGAGAGAGAGAGAAAGAGAGAGAGAGAGGGGGGGGGAGACAGACAAAGAGAGAGAGAGAGAGAGAGAGAGAGAGAGGCGGTTGGTTAGCATGGTCGGCCGCGGTATC